CAAACAAACCGGAAAAAACTCGTTCACATCGTAAACCGGAGAAGCAGACACGAGTTTTGAGCGATGAAGACCCTGATTTCGAGTGTGAAAGCCAACCAGACGATTCCGAAAGCGAAGAAAAATTGGAAGAAGACGACTTCCCGGTTGAAATGCCGACGAAAAAAAGGAAAAAATTGACCAAAAAAGAAGGAGACAAAGTCAACGTTTTGAAGAAGAAAAAAAATGGACAAAACTGATGTCACGGAGCACAATCAAGATTCACACAAAGGAATAACATATAAGGTAATTTATATGATTAATTGAAGTATTTTTTCATTACCGTGTTCTACTGGTACATAAATATTGTGTGTTGTTGGTTGTCCACACTCTAGATGGTGGAACTTTGTTTTTGTCTCTGTACATATCTTATGTGTTTGTTTTTATGCTTTGAGTCTTATGATATGGTTTGGTTTTTCTTGGTACATTCCTTATAGTGTGTTTCTTATAAGATAGTGGCAGCTTGTTTCTTATGTTAAGGGTCCACACTCTAAGCAACAAAATTTATTTGAATTTTTGGCTGATATGTTAAGTGTCTTCACTTTCTGATGGTAAGGGTCCACACTTAATTGATATGTTAACTGATATTTTTTTTTATTATTTTTGGGATGTAGTTGGTATATTTTCAAGTGTATGTGTGGTATGTTTTTCACTTCTGCATATGTCATAGTGCCATTATGTTTTTGTGTTTGTTCAACACACATGTAGTATATTTCCTGTATATTCAAAGTTTTCTTACATCTGTATTCCATCCTTCTAATATATGGAATTTTGTTTGCATTATATTTAAGTTAATTCTGCAACCATTTGTCATATGCAAGGCTTATATTCAAAAATGGAAAATTGTAAGAATTGCTATGAGCTTATACAGATATATTTCACTTTTTTCATGTATTACCTCAAGTATTGATAGGCCGTACACTATGTTTCCTTTTGCATTGAGATCATAATATCAATGTGGATATGTACATGTATGGTTTTCATATCTATGTTTACTTGGGGCTTTTTAGAAAAATCTGAGTTTTGCTTTTCCCATGCAACAGATGCTTTACCTGTGTTTTATGGAGCATTTGTCATACTTGCAGGGCATAGTTTTAAAGTACATTTGAAGTATATTGAACAGACCATAACATGCCTTTACTGAACAGATCATAACACTTTTTTTTTTATCTGAACAGAACACTTGTAACTCAACAATTACTTACAAGAATATTGCTTTGAACACAACATGCTTATATTGAACACCTTTTTTTTTTGGGCATAGTTGAAAGTATATTTTAAGTATATTGCACAGAACAGATCATAAGTATATTGAACAGAGCAATTTTTTATAATTTAATTGTGTTTTATTTTTCATTTTTTCAGGAATGGCAATTGCTCATCCCGCACCCCAGGGACATAAATGTGAAGGTCCAAAACAGCAACGATAACAGCAAAGATCGATCCACGATTAACGATATCAAGAGGACTCTTACGACTGAACAATTGGAAGCATTCAGGAGAACACCATTTGGGAAGTTCCTTGATCTCCCTCACTGCATAGTACAAAACCAACTCATCAACCATATTCTCTTACGCGAGGTTCATTAGAATAGGAGCGATGAGGTTTGGTTCAATTTTGGAGGGAAGTTACTTCTTTTCGGGATAGAGGAATTTGCTGTTATAACCGGACTGAAATGCATTGGCAAAACTAAAAAGTTGAACATTCCAAAGATCTCTGGAGGTCTACACGATAAGTTTTTGGATGGTGTAGAATTGAGCCACAACCACATCAGGTGACAATTTCTCAAGAAAGCATGGTCCTGTGATGAGGATGCGGTGAAATTTGCCAAGCTACACTTACTGGAAAATTTCCTGATGGGCTCACAAGAAGCCCTTTGCATTGACCGCTGCTATGTTGACTTGATCGACAGTCCAGAAAGCGACGACCATGCTTGGGGGAAAGAAGTTTTTGATTTCACTCTTTACTATCTCAAGAAGTCAATTCATAGTAGAGAGCAAATGCACATTTACGAGAAGCCTGAGGGTTCTGGATATCTTTCCTGTTATGGCCTTATCTTGGCTCTCCAGACGTGGTTCTACGAGGTGTGTGACACCGCTGAAGGTGTAATATGCACCTCCGTTGGTAACCGTGATATACCAAGGTTATTGAAATGGGAAGTATGTGAAAGTTACAACCGCCTTTTTCTGCAGAGGACCTTCTTAAATCTCCCCCAGTCCAAGGTAATATTTACTGTTTTGTTATTTTTATTGATTTCGTAGTCGATAAGCTTTTTGTAACAAATTTCCTTTATAATGTGTACTGAACTGAACTTGAACACTACTTGAAAAAAACTTGAGTAGATACAGTTCTGTAAACATCTTTCCTCTTATTTTTTCTTTATCTGATGATAGTATATGCAGTTATAGTTAAGTATTTTGTATTAGTAAATTTACTTTTTTTCTAATATCTTTTCCTTCGTTCTTTTTTTTTTTCTTTTTTTTTTGTTCTATTGCACAGTTTAAAAACATTGTTCCTACCGAGGAGGAGAAGCTTACGCTTTCATTGGACTCATTTTTCAAAAAAAAAAATGAATTCACTCGGAATGATATTCCATCAAGCCCCACTACTCAGCATAGCAACGACGTTGACGTTATATCACGTCTCGACTCAATCAGTGCTGAACTCGAGAGCTTGAAACAAGCTTTCTTCGAGTTCTCGAGGCGTGTTATGGCCGAATTTGAGTTGTTCAGAGAAAAATTCATTGTAAGTCATTGTTGATTTGCATTGATTTTGTTGTTACTGAAGGTGTGCTGCATATACGAGATATATCACACAATTGATTTATCTTTTGGTAATTGTTAATGTAATTCTTATAAGTATGCTAATATATGTTGGTAAAATTCAAGTATATGTGGGATATGTTTTTTATGTGTTGGGGTATTTTTTTTTAATTCTTCTAATTAAAATGTGTGGACTGTATGTTAATAATACTTAAGTTTATTTACTAGTGCATATATCACAGTGCTATTGTGAGTTTCAGTCAAGTATAATTTTTGATTTAAATTGTGTTTGGTGGACTGTCCCTTCATTTTATGGATTGTATTTTCATTTTATGTAATCAATCTTAATCTGATAACATTAACATGATACATTAGGGTGGTTCAAGTGAGGACCATCACACAGACAAAGAAAACACGAGTGGATCTCGCGATGGGAATGAAATGCCTGAAAAAGAGACGGTTTGTTTTCTCGATATTAATATTTATTAACCATAATACATTTTAGTTAGCACATCTATCAAATTAGACTATATGAAATTGTGTTAATGTTTTGTTTTTTTTTTTTATTTTTTTTATATGTCTAGCCTTTCGAGAAGCCATCCAATGTTAATGTTGAGACTACAAATGAGGTATCATTATCCCTTTTAATCTTTTTTTTTTTAAATGTATATGAAGTACGAGTTTATTTGTTTATACCTTCATTTTTTTTTTTTTGTTAAAAAGCAAACGAGTGTCAAGTCTCCCGTCAGAGCCTTCAGAACCAAGTCTGAAGCACTTATGAAGAGCAAAACAGACAAAGTAAGAATATCATGTTACAAAATATACCCAAGTTCATATGTTATTACATGTCCCACATATAAACTTTTATTATTACTTTATTTCTTTTTTTGTTAGTTTGTACCAGTACAATCTTTGCCACAGCCGGCTAGCCATGTAACAGTTCAAAATGTACCCCAACCCGATGTCCATGTACCAAGTGGTGTCGACGATGACGACCCATTTCACGAAATTAACACCCAATTCTTAGAGGAGATTGACCGGACTTTGCAAGAAAAGTTGAATGAATCATCCAGGAGGAAAGAACCGGTAAAAAATACACACGGTCTAACTAAGTATATGGTAGCCATATAAGCACATATTTCTAAACATGTCGGAATTTATACAAATCTTATTAATATTTGTTTTGTTATGCAGAGAGGGTTCACATATGAGCCACACCCCATCTTTGGTTATGCATTGAATGGATCGCAACCGTCATTAAATATTTACGTTCAATTGGTTTTTTCTATTGTTTTTTTAGTTAATATGAGTATATTTTGATGTACATCAACTCTTTTTATGTAATTTTATTTATTTTGTTTTGTTTTATGTCTCATTATATGTTTGGTATATCTAAAATTATTCGTCCATAATAAGAATAAACACGAAATTATAATATTTATAATCTAGTTATTTGGTTATATGTTGGTTATATATGAGGTAAATGCTTTTCTTTTTTTTTTTTGTAATAAATTTGATGTCTAATTTGACATCTCTTTACGTTTTAATTCTGATTATGATTATAAGTGGGGTATATGCAATGTCAAGTTGCATTTTTTTAATATTAAAAGTCAAACATATAACATACATATACCCATAATACAACAGAAATACATTTTATAACTGAAATATACACATAATATAACATTTAATACATTTTATTCTTTATAAATTCGTATAATATAACAGTAATATACCCAAATAATACACATACAATGTTGTTGTTATTTTATTTTGGAGACAGTAAGTATAATTCAAGAGTATGTGTGGTATCTTTTTTACTGGTGCATATGTCATAGTGCCATTATGTTTTGTGGTTGTTCACCACACATGTATATTTCCTGTATAGGGTCTACACTTTCTTATAAGTCAAACATACGCATACTAATACAACACAAAATATAATCTCCAGAATAATTAGTTAATAACGATTCTAATTCAAAATATACAGAACAATTATTAGACTATAACCTCTTCGGATTCCTACAAGTTTTCACATTGTGCCCTTTCTCATTACACTTGCTGCACCTATTTTTTGACATATGCTTCCATCCGGACTTTACCCGTTGCTTGCGTGGTCGCCCTGG